AGGGCTGATGGTCCCACTCACATCGAGTTGTGTGCTGAGTTGTCTTACAGAATTACAAAACAGATGTCTTTTGGGGGGGGAAAAGAAAAGTGGGGAAAAAAAAGCAATTCTTTTGAAAACTATTTCTGCACCTGAGAAGTGAGCAGTTACAGATGGAAACAGAAGTAATTATTTTGATGTTCTGGGTTCTGATCAATGTCACTTTCACACTTACCGCTTTTGAGTCGTAACTAGAATTCACTTAAATGGCTTTTCATAGCACTTGTTCCTTATGTGAACATGGCTTGTTGATTAGTTAACCTGTTCTCTTAAAGCAGATGTGGTTGGTCAAAAAAAAAAAAAGCATCTGATAGCCTAGTTAGCTTCAGTTCTGTCTCTAGTTTTACATATTTAAGATCTAAAAAATTAGGGCTGTTCCTGACTTAAACTGACCTTTATTATTACCTACAGCCCACCAGGGTCATAAAGGCAGTTTCATTCTGCAATTACAGGGGAGAACAAAGAGCAATACTTGAAAGCAGTAATGCCTCCTTCACTTGACTATAAACTTAGGACTGTGATCTTCATTTTTAAAGAAACTTTACTCTGATCTTCGTGTCTACAATGATTTTGATCCTTAAATCTTCAAAGGCATGACAAGAAACTGAATCTAAACCCAGGCCTTTTATATGTAATATATTCTTTGCAGGGTCAAATATTTTACTGTATTATTACATCAAAGAAAAAGCATGTAGGGTTAATACTGTAACTAGAATTGTAAGAAAAAGATTAATCTCTCATCTGAAAGTGGATTTTTTTTTCCCCCTGAAATACTCTCCTGCAAACTTAGTGGATCCAGCTGCTTTTTCAGTTTTGCCACCTCCTTTCCTGCCCCCCCTTTTTTTATTTTTAAGATGGCAGTTCTGCTGCAGTGTAATAGGCTGAGAATTACTGTGATTCAAAAAATGAAAATGCTCTGTGTAGGCAATGTAATGATACTTCAGCCTAATGAAGAGTACTTATGTTTCGGTGACAATGGGAACACAAGGAGAAACCTGCAAGGGTAGTGCCAGAGCCTTGCAAATGACAGTGGCCAGCAGTTCACCCATTCTATTCACCATACTGTTCATTTCACTTCATCTATTCATGCAGCTATACAAATTTCTAGCAGTGGCCATTTCTGATGGCACACTGAAGCGGAACTGTAAGAAACTACAGCTTGATAACCCTGTGTTATTTTGAGAGCACTAACATAATGTATTCCATGCTGATATTGTGCACTGGTGATGTAATACAAAGCTGTTACTGCCAGTGCTATTATTGATATTTTATAGACTAAAGCACTGATGGTGTGAGTATATTGACACTCCACAACCTAGACGATGTCCAGCATACATATAATTCTGATTTATAAGAACAATGAAGAATTTCCACTCTGACACTCTTATTGGCCAGTATTTGTAATTCCTCATTGGTTGTACTCTATAGTATGTGACAAAATAATTCTAGGTGGCCAAACATCAGAAAAATAACCCCACACTCAAGTTATTTTAGACCAGAGGCTTAATTTCATCTCTGTATTGTAGTTCACTTCTAGAACTTACTCAAGTACTGCCTTTCCACTACTAATAGCTTATCATACCATATTCACTTCAGAAGCAATTCAGCATGCACACTGGTTGCTTATATAGCGTGCTGAAACCATGCAGTTGGGCACTGAAAAAGCTGTTCCTCACAAAACCGGTATAGGCCAGTTAAACATCTAAAGTTATCTTGGGTTCTCTGTGCTCATGTATTACCAACTGAAACTGTACTAACAGTGACATGAACTCTATCTCAACATAGATTAAAACTGAGAGGTTAAAATATGGAGAAGATATTAAGGTATACAGATAAGCAGATATAAGAAGAAATGCAAATTATGCAGAATATCTATTTCAATTTGTCAATTGCTTAATTAACAGGAGGAGGATCAGTCCAGTTTTTCTGGATACGAGAGCACAGGAGGTGAGTTTCTTCTTCAGTGTCATTTGCCATTTGATTCTGAAACCTTTGATTTCCCCTTGTATTTAAAGAGTTACTTAGACGATGAAGTGAATTCAGGTATTTATATTGTGAAAGTCAGATCTCAAAGGATTTTATCATGGGAATTCTCTTTGAACGCAATTTAAATCTTGTAAAAGACATTTCTACACTCTTTAGGCCAGTGGATCCAAAATGATTAGAAAATATTATTGTTAATTGCATCACATCTCAAAGGTGTTTTCAGAAATTGGCAGTTATTAAAAGCTTGTTGGAAAGTATGAGATGCTAAGAGTCTAAGAGGAATGAAAGGATTAATCAAAACCTTTTTATGGCTAATGATATTACATAATAAGAGATGTACACACCACATAATAAAAAACAAAGTTGTATGTAGTAAATTAATGTGTCTTGTAAGGGATTAAGTCAAAGACAATAAAATCCCAGGAGGCTCAGATGGTGCCAAGTCTCTACTGGTATAATCAGGCTAATGATGGACTCAGACTGGAAGGAATTGATTTTTTAAAAAACACACAATTGCAGTAAAAGGTGAAGCTGTAGCAAATGCGATAGTTTGCATGCTCAAATGACGGTAATGCTTAGATTTCAGTTATTATTTGGCTGAATTTGAGGCTCAAAGGAGTTTAAGACTACATCTCAGATGTAGTGCACCAAATAAAAAATCTGAATGGGATGTGGACAAACTTCTATAGCAATAATTATGTAATAACAGAGAAAATCTCAGTGGCTCAGGAGGTAAGTTATTACATAGAGATGCATCAACTTCTTTTTTCTTAAGGAAACTGTGTACGTGCAGGGTCTAATTTTCAGGTACAATATTTTTATCATATCTGCAATGAGAACTATGAAACTGGGAGATAAATAGGCTTGTGGATAATAGCTCCTTCTGGAATGCACAACGTTAAAACAAAAAGTAAATCTGGTAAAATCAGATCACTTTGAGTGTTACACGATTCAGTGTGTATGGAAAGTATCTGATTAAAAAATCAGTAGCTCTTGCCAACTAAAGAATTTTTATTTTCATTCTAGACTTTTCAGAAGATCTGAGGAAATCAAACATAATTTTTGTTGTTGGTAAGTACGATTCCTAATGTAACTGCTAGATTTGAAAATCCCCATGTTATTTAGCTTTGATTATAAGTATATATGACTTCTTTTAAAGTTTAGCAGAATAGTTTGGTTAAGAGTATTTACACTATAATGATGGATTAGCCTTTTGAAAGGGAGTTAAGATTTAATATTGTGTTATTAACCTGGGTCTGACCATGCTAACAACAGCAGTGTTAAGCTCAGAGCAGGTTGATTGTTAAAGTGTGAACACATTCAAAATGACCGTATAGTTCTTATGGTAGTGTTGTGTAGCAGCAAAGATGCCTTAATAGCATTAGTAAAAACATTACTCGATTAGATTCATAACTTAGAATTTTGAGGGGGGGGGGGGGGGGGGAAG